CTCAAACGCCCTTGCCGTGGGCTGTAACACCCCTCCATGGGATAAAATACCCCTGCACAGGCTGCAACATCTCTGCACATGCTGAAACACTTCTGCCAAAGGCTAAAATACCCCTGAAGATCTTGAAACACCCCATAACAGGATGCAACACCCCTGCCATGGGCTACAACACCTCTACACGGGCTGCAACACCAACCACATGGGCTGCAACACCACTTGCATGGCTGTAACACCCTGCATGAGCCACAACACCCCTGCACGGACCAAAGCACCCGTGCACAGGCTGTAACACCCCTGCATGAGCCACAACACCCCTGCATGGGATACAACACCCCTTCCCAGGCTGCAACCCCCCTGCATGAGCTAAAACGATCTGCATGATCTGCAACACCCCCACGAAGCTGCAACATTCCTCCGAGGGCTGCAACACCCCGGTGTGGGCTGAAACCACATCCTCAAGTGGGTTTTTCTCTCACTGTGTCCTCACCACACTGTTCACATCCCTTCAGGGCAGCTGAAGGGGAGCCAGACCCGGTGGGAAGGAGCCCCCAAAGGGTCCCCATCCCCACACCCTCTGCTTGCTGGGGAGTGGGTGTTTTGGGGAGCAAGGTCCCCAAGGTCACATCGCTGTGGTCAGCACAGGCTCTTCCAGCCACATGTGGTGAGAAGGTGTCACAGAGGAGGACGAGGAGGAGGAGGAAATCAGGCCTCTCTTGCCGTGGCTCTATGGAGAGTCCATCCCCAGCCCTGTTATTGCCCTGCTGCTGGGCAAACACCCACACCAGCCTGCCCAGTGTGCAGCGGGCACAGCACTCCAGTCTGCAGCATGCCTCTGTCTGCAGCTGAGAGAGGGAAGGAGAGGAAGGTGCCCTGCCCTCTGCACTCCAGTGAGCAGGAGGAGACAAAGGTTTGGGGTGGGTGAGATGTTTCAGGCAGATCTTCCCAATCATGGTTATTGATTCCCTTTCCTCTCTCTCAGCAGGGCTGGAAAGAGCCCAGCTCTCCCCTTCCATCTCTGCTTTCCACACTGGTGGTGTGGCAAGGCTGCAGCCGTTGCTGACAGGGCAGCGTTGCCAAATCTGAGGAAACTCGGCCCGTTGGGGGTTTTATTCCTTATGATAATTAGTGGCTATTTAAACTGATGGACAACCCTGGCTCTCACAAACCCTGTCCCCCCTGGGTGGGAATCACCCCCCCCACCACATTCAGAAACTTCCCATTTTGCTGAATTTCAGCACTGATCAAGCAGTGGAGCTGCCACAGGTGCCAGCAGGGACAGGGATGGCAAGGGGCATCTTCCAGGCAAGCAGAACCCCCCTGTACCACAGCATCAAGGGTTCAGGTGATGTGCAGCAGCATTGCACCCAGGCTTCCCCTTCCCAAGAGCCCCTGAGCTCACTGCAGGGGGGCCCAGAGCCATCCCCTCACGCTGTCCACGGGAAGGGGACCCAGCTGGTGCCGTGGCCGATGGCTGCACGGTGGTGTCTGGCTCCAGCTCTCCCAAAAAGGAGCTGCTTGGAGCCGGGGAGCAGATGGCAGCTGAGCCCTCCCCGCCCTGGCTCCCCCGGCAGCAGCCCCGGCCGAGCTGCCAGGTCCCGCCCGCGCTGAGCCCCGGCCAAACCTCACCCCTGTCCCGCCGGGCATGGCTGGGCACGGAGCAGCCGCGTCCCTGGCTGCCCATCCATCTGTTCCCCAGGCCCCTGGGACACGGGGCAGCTCAGCCCCATGCCCAGCTGCTAGACAGGGCACAATAGCCCTTGCACGCCCAATTGTCACCCCACGTGTCACCCGCAGTGCTGAGCTACCCCTGGGCTCACCTCCATCCCCTGCATCCTCTCCCCTCATGGAATAACAGCATGGAGAAGTCAGGCTCTGGGGGCTGCAGCCCCGTGGAGCCATGTGGGGGTGCTGGGAATGGCACACCCCGTGCCATGGGGACAGGCCATGGTGGCATTTGCCAGGCTGAGGGGGCCACGCGGCCCTGGGCAGGAGTGCTGCCAGAGGAACTCACACAGCAGCTCGGCAGAGGGAAGAGGAAGCAGCAGGAGCACGGTGTGGGGTGGGGGGAGGAAGAGGATGGTGCTGTGGCCAACAATGGGCCACAGGACTGGCAGGACTGGCAGGATGGTGACAGCTGGGAGGGTCAGGCAGGGATGGCAGCAGGCTCAGCCCCCTGGGTGTCCTGGATCCCTCCATGCCTTGTCCCACACTGTCATCCTGCACTGCTCCGTGGTGACCCGGCTCCTGCTCCCTGGGAAGAGGAACCGAGAGGGCTGCACAGCCCAGCTGGTGCCACCGAGGTTCTTCTGTCTCCCCGTGGCTCTGGGGCTCCCCGGTCCCAGCAGGAAAGCAGGCATGAGGCAGAAGGGGAAAGTGGCTCATTAGGACACAGGACCTGGAGCTGTGTCACCGTCCCACGCCCAGGACCCCACAGACCTGGGGAGGGGACAGGAGGCCACATCTGCCTGCCCCATCTGCTCCTAGTTCCAGCTCTGTGGCAGGTGGTGGCATGCCCCTTCCCCACTGCCCCCAGCCCCAAGGCCACCCCAATGACAGCTGGAGATGGAGCCCTGCTCCAGCTCTCCCAGTTCACCCAGTGCCTGCTGAGTCCCCCGTGGCTCCCAGTGGGAGCAGTTCCTCCAGGTGCATGGGGGGAAGACACCCCACACCCTGCATGCCCACAAGCAGGGCTATTCCCTGGGACGAAAATTGAAGGACTTGCCAACGTCCCAAAGTGATCTTCTCTGCAAGCCCACCTGTCAGCCACCAGGCCCGGGACAGAGGGGTCCCCTTGTCCCCTCCCTGGCACAAGATGCTGGGCAGGGAGGGAGCCCCCCCTTCCCCAGCCTTGCAGCCCCATCGCTGGCTGGGAAAGCAGGATTTCCGCTGGAAGAAGAGCAATTCCCGGATCCAAGGGGCTGCAGGGGCGGAGGGAGGGAGCCAGCCAGGGCTCCAAATACAATGTCCCGGGAGGAGCGGGGTGGGGAGGGAATTGTGCAGGGCAGGAAGCAGCGAGTTCCTGTCCCTCCTTGGGACACACCAAGGATCAGGGACGAAGCAGAGCTGCAGGGACCGGGGGGAGCATCCGCTCCGGCCAGGGCCTGAGCCCCTGCGGCTCCCCCAGCCTCAGCCTCGGGGGGCTCAGCCTGCAGCATCGCCCCGGAGCGCTGGCTGGGCTGGGACCCCACGGGCACCGGCAGGGACGGAGGGCACAGGTGTGTGCGTGTCCCCAGGGTGTCCTGTCCCCTGCCCAGCCGGCGGCTCCGGCACGGTGAGGGCACCATGTGCTCCGCCGGCTCCCCGACGCGGTGTCAGCACCAGGTAGCGCCGGGATGGTGGCTGCAGCTGCTGGGTGCCCCCAGATCTTCACACGCAGCCCCCGCTGACCTGCTGTCCCCCAGGATGGCGAGGACGGGGGTCTCCTCCCACCCTCGGGCATTTCCCAGGGAAGCAGCGAGGGCACAGTGAGAGCAGCCCCCCAGCAGACCCCGCCAGTGTCGCGGGACTCTGTCCCCACAGCTCAGCGGCCGCCTCACCCGGGACCCAGAGCCACCCACACACGGAGGGGGCATCTCTCAGCAAGGGGATGAGACCCCCCCGCTGTCACAGGGCTGAGCCCCCCACCCTGCCCACACAGCCACACATACCTCCTGCCGTCCGCGCTCCTGCTCCGGCTGGCATGGACCCCTGGCAGCCGGGACCACCGGGGCAGCCCCGCTGCGGCCAGCGCCGGGGGTGCCGGGGCGGCAGCCGTGGGAGAGCGGGAGCGCCCGGCCCTGAGCTTCCCCTGTCTCTCCGGCGGCTCTGGCAGCCGAGCAAGAGCTTCCCCTCCCCTCGCCCCCCCTTCCTCCCCGCGCTCGCAGCAATGGTTCATTGTACCAGCCAGCCCAGCCGCTGCCGCAGCACCCTCCGGGTCACCCTCCGTGTCACCCTCCGTGTCACCCTCCGGGTCACCCTCCGGGCCACCGCGGGACCTCAGCCCGCCCGCGGAGGGGGCACAGCGGGAGGGGCGGCAGGGGGTCCCGGGTCCCCAGCAGCGCCAGGGGACACTGGCGTGCATTGGCAGGCTCTGCCTGCGGGGGTTTACGGGGAAGTGTGCGGATCCAGCCCGTGCCTGCCCGTGCCCAGAGCCGGGCAGAGCCTCCCCGAGACCCCCGAGGGAGGGCCCCGGGCAGGGGACAGCAAAGGGACAGGGAACAGCCCGCCATGCCTGGGGAACGGCAGGCAGCTCTGGCTTGTGTTCCAGGGGTGTCCCACACGACCCCCCCAAGATGGGGTGCAGCTCCCTTGTGGCTCAAGCCAGTCCTGTGTCCATGGATTGCCCACTATACATCATACCCCTTATTTACCCCTTGTCCAGACAAAGTTGCTGGTGGGATGACCCCAAGGTTTGGCATCGGTCACACCAAGCCACAAACTTCAGTGAGCTCTGGGGTTGGGGTAAACCACGCAGACCCCTGTCTGAGTGCCCCTGCACCCCGCCTGAGCCCCCCGCATTCCGGTGATCCCCCTGCAGCCTCTCCGAGCCTCCCCAGCCCTGTCTGAGCCCCCCGCATCCCAGCGATCCCCCGGAATCCTGTCCGAGCCCTCCTGGAGCTGGCTCTGTCCCGGCTCTGCCCCACTGTCCTCCCACACAGCTGGGCTGGATCTTTCCCATCTCTCCAGAGCCTTCCTCCCCCTCCTCCTCCTGCTCCTCGCCCTGCAGTCACCCCTCCCTCTGTGACCCCCTTTCCTCTGTGTCCGTGAGTCCGGCCTCACTGCTCCCCCCGGCGCTCTCACGGGGCGCCAGGGCTGCCGCAGGCTGGGGACCTGCTCCCCGCTGCTGTCACCCTTAACTTGTCACCTCCTGACTCATCCTGAGAGCGAGGCAGGCCTGGCTGAGCCCAGCTTGGGGGTGCCCCGCAGGTCCATCCAGTGCACGCACCCCAATGCTGCTGGGGGGTTCCGGCTCGCCCCCGGGGCCCGGCGTTGCTCCATCCCCGTCCGCGGGGGCCGTGCCGGGACACGCCGAGCCCGGGGTGCCCGTCCCCCTCCAGGCACCACATGATGCCGGTTCCTTCCCTCCTCGGGGAGGGCCCCGACTTCTGCATTGGCTCCGCCGGGTTTCGCCGCCGCCGGCTCCAGCTTAAAGCTGCGAAGCCGGAGCCGGGCGGGCCGGGCGGCCAGGATGGGTGTTCTCCGCTGCCTCGTGGCCTCCGCACTCTGCATCGCCGTCCGGGGTGAGTCTGGGCCTGGCCCCGGCACCGCTGGGGACGCCCCGGGCATGGCAGGGAGATGGGGACACCCCCAGATCTCCTCCCGCTGCACTGCAGGGGAGGGCTCGGGCTGGGGAAGTGGTTTTACAGGGGGATCGCACAAAATTTGCTGTTCCTCCAAGACACAGCTGAGATGGGGGCAAAGAGGGCAGGGGGGATGTGTCTTGAGGGCTTGGTAGGGCTGGGGCGTGAAAACAAAACTAAATTGAGGCTTTAACCCAAGGGGTTTAACCCAACCAGGCAGGACAGGCAAGTGTGAGGGGACAGGGGTGGCCGTGTCCCCGTGGGACCCCCTTTCTGGGTGCTGATGGAGCCGAGCAGGGTTGGGAGGGGCTGCACCCGTTGCTGCCTGTGGGTGCCCCGAGGTGGCTGTGATGGGTACCCATGGCACAGCCTGGGCTGCAGGTGGGGGTCTGCCCGTCCCCAGCTCCCCCAGGGCCGGGGGCAGGGCTGCTCCCGGCTCTCCGGGCTGGGCAGGCGCGGTCTGGGTCCGGGCAGGTGCTGCCGGTCGCTCCCGGCGAGGAGGAAGATGCTGAGGGAGGGAAGGGCTCGTTCCCAGCACTTGTGTTGGCGTGGGGTTGCACAAGCTGGGAGCCCGGGGGGAGGCTGGGGAGGTCACTGGGAGATTCCAGGCAGAACCAGTAAGGTCCCTGGCACCCCTCAACCACGCCCTGTGTGTTGGGGACAGCTGCTGGGTCCCACCATGGAAATATTCCAGGCCAGGGCCACCAGTGCTGGGGGGGGGGACACTGGGGCATCACCCCAACAGTCACCCAGGAGCTGGGGTTCCCTGGGGGTGCAGCAGTGCCGGGCTTGCTGCAGTGTCACTGCAGGCTGTGGCATGGTGCTGACCCTGGGAGGTGTCAGTGCCTCAGCGTCCCTCGGATGTGCCTTGGGATGAGCTCAGGAAGTTCCTTTGGCCAGGAAGGGAAGCCCCAGGCTGCAGGGAAGGGGAGCACTGGCTTGGCAGCCCCCATCCCCATCTCAGCTGGGGGGCACACACAGCCCCCCTCACCCTGCCCCTCTCTGCCTTGCAGGACAGGACCATGGGCTGTCCCGCCCACCCCCTCAGTTCGGCTCCATCTACCACGTCCGAGGTAAGGGGCAGCCACTGACAGACCCCCAGTGCCCTGCGGGGGGAGCAGAGGACGCTCAGCACGGCTCTGCCCAGGCTGTCCCAGTGCCAAACTGGGGCAGGTTCCCACAGCCCAGTGCCTCTTCATCACCCGTGGGGCACTGTCCTGGTCAGCTGTGGGTCTGCAGACTCTGGGGGGCTCAGGCAGGGGTGCTGGGGTGCTGGGGCTTGGGGCTGAGCTGTGTCCTGTGCCGGGGACAATGCCCCCTCCGCAGGGGTCATTAAGCTGCCCTACGCCGAGATCGAGGAGCCCTTTGAAGCCTGGTACAACCTGACGGGGAACAAGAGCCGCATCCAGTACTACGGAGGTAAGAGGTGGGCACCCAGCTGCGCCCACCCCGCACCGGCAGGACTCCTGTGCCTCAGTTTCCCCTTCCCTGGCACAGGGCAGGTGATAACGTACCAGCTGGCAGCGGTGAAGCCCTATGGCATGAGGTACAAGATCACGCCGGAGACGACCGAGAAGGAGGTGAACGCCAGGAAGTGCTTCCAGCTGCCCGGCTCCAAGGAGGACGTGGTCACGGCTCAGAGCGTCTTCCCCAGCATGAGGGGCTTTAAGGTGGGAAACCTCGGAGCCTAGACCTGACCTGCCTCCCAAAGCACCTGCAGGCTGTGGGAGGGGGTGCTGGGAGAAGTTCCTCTCTGTCCGAGGGCCGCAGGGTGCTGGGACTGGCTGGGACTTGTCCCCACAGCCCAGGGTGCAGGGAGGGTCACTTCCCCACCCGGATCGGGGCCGGACTCCTGGCGCCTTTCCCAACTCCAGCAGCCGTGTTGGGACGTGTCACGTCCCACACAAACGCTGGCATTTCAGCATGGTTTGGGCAAGCCTCTGCACGGCAGCTCAGCTCCTGCCGGGCCCAGCCTGCCTCAGGGCTGGGCACAGCACGTGAGCAGTGGGGACAGCAGGTTGTCACTGAGCTGGACATGCCTGCATGGCGAGAGCTTGGAAACACAGGAAAAACCTGAAATCTTTCCAGGATTTTGGAGAAATGGTGCAGCCAGCCTCGCTGCTGTGGGTGCGCAGATTGCTGTGCACAGCAGAGTGTCCCCAGGGCACCGCTGAGCCACACAGGGGGATCTGCCCTGTGTTGCACCCCATATCCTTGCCCCAGTTTCCATCCCACACATGGCTGTGTGCTAATGGCCATGCAGCCACTGGATCCAGCTGGAGAGCATTGGGCTGTGCGAAGGGGCTGGGTGGGCAGCAGGTGGCCTGGGGGAGGTTGGGGTCCCCTCCCTGAGGCCGTGTCCCCCCCAGTTCCTACGGGAGGAGTACTACGAGGGCCGGTACTGCGCCGTGTGGCAGAACGTCACCCGCTGGGAGCAGAAGAAGAACGTCTACACGCTGTGGGTGACCAACTCCAGCTGCGGGGTGGCCCCCGTGCACTACGAGATGCGGGGCTACAACAGCCTGCTGGGCTCCCACTACGACAAGTACGAAATCGCCTACACTGACTTCGACAACAGCTTCCCGCCCTCCGTCTTCGACCTCCCCGCCAACGGTGAGCCAGGGAGGGACCCCCATCCTGCCCGCGGGGCTCGGGCTGACAGCTCCTCTCTCGGTCCCCAGCGACCAAGTGCGGGGTGCTGCCGGGGAGCGTGGCGGAGCACCGCGTGCTGGCAAACCCCATGGAGGACCTGGTGGGCCAGCAGCCACCCTGGGCACACCGGGTGTTCCACGACTACCGCCGGCAGACGGGGCGGCACTACGGCTCCGCGCGGGAGCTGGAGCACAGGCAGAGCATCTTCGTGCACAACATGAGGTACAGGCAGGGGGGTGCCCACCCCCTGGGGGTGCTGCTGACGCCGTAGGGGTGTGGCAGTGCCAGCTGGCGCTGTCTCCGCCACGGTGGCAGGTTTGTGCACTCGCGGAACCGCGCCGCGCTGTCCTACACGCTGTCCCTGAACCACCTGGCCGACCGCACGCCGCAGGAGCTGGCAGCCCTGCGGGGCCGCCGGCGCAGCGGGACCCCCAACCGTGGGCTGCCCTTCCCCACCGAGCTCTACGCCGGCATCATCCTGCCCGAGAGCCTGGACTGGCGCATGTACGGTACGTGCGGGGTCGGGGGACAGCAGGGTGCTTTGGGAGTGAGTGCTCCTCATCCAGGCCTGTGCTCCGTCCCACAGAGCCCCCCGCTGCCCATCACTGCACTGAGGGCCTGTGGGACTGTGCTGTCCCTGGGCTGCACATCTGTGAGGTTGGTGAGGCACTGGAACGGGCCGTACGGAGAACCTGGGGCTGTCCAAGGCCAGGGTGGATGGGGCTTGGAGCAACCTGGGGCAGTGGAAGGTGTCCCTGCCCATGGCAGGGGTGGAACGAGATGCTGTTTGAGGTCCCTTCCAACCCAAACCATTCTGTCTTTCTGTGACTAAAGGCAGCTGGGTCAGCACTTGGCCCTGAATTCACTCTGGTGCCCCAGGGACAGATGTGACATCTGAAGCAACATCTGGCTTCACCCATGTCCCCATCAGCTGGGAGTGACACCCCCAGAGCTTGCCCCTAGCCAAGGGTGGGGTCCCAGGTTTGCAAGTGCATATCCCCCCTTCTCAGTTAGCACTGAGGTCTGGCTGTGCTGCCTCTGGACCTCACCTCCTGCCTCAGTTTCCCTTCCACCTGCCTCCATCCCTCGGTGCCAACCCAGTTTCTCCTCCTGTGCCCCGTTGTCCCCAGGCGCTGTCACCCCCGTGAAGGATCAGGCTGTCTGTGGGTCGTGCTGGAGCTTTGCTACAACGGGAGCCATGGAAGGTGCCCTCTTCCTCAAGGTGGGAGCAGGGCTGTGCCCCACGGAGTGGACGGGGCACCTGCAGGGTGCCTGTCCCCATCCCTGAGCTGTGTCCCCCTGCAGACAGGCGTGCTGACCCCCCTGTCCCAGCAAGTCCTCATTGACTGCTCCTGGGGCTTTGGGAACTACGCCTGCGACGGGGGCGAGGAGTGGCGGGCGTACGAGTGGATCAAAAAGCACGGGGGCATTGCCAGCACCGAGTCCTACGGCACCTACAAGGGGCAGGTGAGGAGGCCCTTGTCCCCGATGGCCTTCCCAACATCCTGGGGCTTTCAAGCCATGGTGGGACCCCCCTGGATGTGTCAGAGGCACTAACAGGCTCTTGAGGTGAGGATGTCACCTTGTCCCCAAGGCACCAGGCTTCCGTGGCTCACAGTCCTGTCAAAGCCAAGCCCCAGGGCTCATCCAGGCTCTTTTGTCACCGTGTTCCTCAGTTTCTCTTCTTGCAAAACAGGGACAAGGCTCCTCCACCTGTGCATGGTGCCATGAGTCACTCCATGCCCGGGGTACCCGGGGATGGAGCAAAGCTGCCTGGGGATGGGGATGTGGCAGCAAGACACAGGCAACAGCCCTCGAGGGCTTTGGGTGCAGAGTCAGCTCCCCACCTTGGGTCTTGAGCAACTGGGAAAACATCCCCAGCACCCTGGGCTTGGGAGGAGAGGGGGGTCAGAGCCAGGGGCTCCCACATCCCAAATTCCAGATCACTGCCTGCATCCGCAGGGTCAGGCGGGGGGGCAGGGTCCCAGCCAGGGCTTCTGATGACAGTGTGTGTCCCCTGGGTGTGTAGAATGGCTTGTGCCACTACAACCAGTCTGAGATGCTGGCCAAGATCACGGGCTATGTCAACGTCACCTCGGGCAACGTCACGGCGGTCAAAGCTGCCATCTACAAGCACGGCCCCGTGGCCGTCAGCATCGACGCCTCGCACAAGAGCTTCTCCTTCTACTCCAACGGCGTCTACTACGAGCCCAAGTGCGGTGAGACAAGCAGCACGCGGGGCGTGGGAGGGCCTGGGTGCCCAAGGAGACGCCAGAGCACCTGGGAACCAGCTTTTTGGTCAAGGGGGGGTGGAGGGGATGAGCCCTGAAGTCCCCTGCAGCACCGAGGGTAGCCCTGGGAGCAGGGATGCTGTCCGGACTGGGATGTCCTGTGGACAGGGATTACTGGGCAGGGATCTTCTCCAGGCAGGGATGGTCTCCAGAAAGGAATGGTGTCTGGAAAGGGAGGCTCTCTGGACACCAGAGTCCAGACAGGGGTGCTGTCCAAGCGAGCCCTCTGCGTGTCACTCCCTGCAGACAACACGCCGGGGTCGCTGGACCACGCCGTGCTGGCCGTGGGCTACGGGGTCCTGCAGGGAGAGACCTACTGGCTCATCAAGAACTCCTGGTCCACATACTGGGGCAACGACGGCTACATCCTCATGGCCATGAAGGACAACAACTGTGGGGTGGCCACGGAGGCCACCTACCCCATCCTGGCCTGAGCCAGCTGGCTCTGCAGGGAGAGCCCTGCCATTCTCAGCACTCAGCCCGGGACCAGGCCCTTCAGTGGGGCCATCGGGAAGCTGGGGACACAGTGGGACAGCCCCATTCAGTGCTGGACACAGGGCAGGACGGGGACTCAGCACTGGGCTTGCCAATAAAGACACTGGGAAAATACTGGATGGCTTTTCTACAGGAGGGATTCAATTGCTGCCCACACAGCTGTGCCCCTGTGCCCCAGGGACACATCCTGTACAAATCCCTGTCCCCAGCCTGGTTTTCTTGGTCCTGTGGGACCCTGGGGGCCTCCTGGGGAGGGGACAATCCCACCTGGCAGAGCCAGCTGGCTCTCAGAGCCAGTCCCAGACCCCCGGGGCCAGGGGAGCGGCTCTTCCAGCTCTGAGGTGGAGCACAAACAACCCCAGGGATTTCTGCTGAGATGAGAAATTCCCGGCGTGGGGTGCTGGGGAGGGGGAAGGCTTCCACCCCGTGCCCCAGTGCCTGCTGTGGCTGCAGTGGGGACTTTGTCACCAGGGTGTTTGCCAGTGCCACCAGCCAGGCCCCTCACTCCCCGGGGCTGCTCCCCTTCTGGCTGTGGCTCAGCTGGGTGCTCTTACTTTGGGCTCAAGCCATCCTGGAGAACAGCATCAGTGCACAAGGATACCAAAAGAGGCTGGAAGCTCTCCCTGCCCTGGTGCTGGTAGTCTCCCACCTTTTTGTGTGGGGTGCACAGGGGGTTTTGGGGTGCTCCTGAGCTGGTCACACCCCAGAGCTGTCATGTTCCTTCCATCTTTTCAAGCTTCACCCCAAAACCTCACAGCCATGGAGAAGCCTCGCCACGAGCTGAGGGTCTGTGCTGTTCTTGGGCTGTCCAGGCCACAGGCCAGCAGAGTTCTGAAGGGTCATTGTGGGGGTTCTGGTGCCGTTCTGGGGGTGTCCAGCCTGGGGATGGAGCTGGGCTGGCAGCCCAGGGCTGCCAGGGAGAGCTGCTGGCACTGCCAGGCTCCGCTTCCCAACTCAAGAGCGCAGTTAGCAGCAGGCATCTGGGAAGGGAAATGTCATCCCTGACTTGTAGCTGCATCTGCACAGGCTCTACCTTCCCCCAGATGGGGTTTTGATAGTTGGGAAGTGACATCCCCCATGGCCACAGCCCAGTTCTGTACAGCAAACCACCGGCAGCACCAAGGGAGCTGCACTTCCCTCCAGGTGACACAACTGCTCTCAGCAGGGGTGGCAGGTCATCATATTCCCTTGTTTTCTTCCACTTGTTCACCTGCTTATTTGTCAATTTGCTGTTTGTTGAAGGGGTCTTTAATCATTCCCAGCAGGGAGGCTGGCTGGAATTCATGTCTGGGAGAGGAATGATCACTGCACAGGAATAATGTGGTTTATTCCGTGGGAGTCCAGGTCTCCAGATCTTTGATTCTCTTGACTGCAGTCAATAAAACATGCTTTGACTTTCAGGGAACCGTGACTTTCAGGCTCCCTTTGGATAGGTGATGTCCTGAATTTGCTGCTGAACACAGAGGTGGCTTTGAGAGCTGGAAGTTTTGTATCCCCAGGAAGCATTTACTGAAATTCTGCATTCATGGCATTAGGCATATTGCAGCCCTGAGCGTGGGTAGTTCAGATGGCTGGGAACTTAAAAAACTATCTATTTATTATATTTGAAAAAGGGAAAAATAAGAAAGGACATACCTGAAGGGAGGTTTTCTGTTTGCAGAGCCAGATGTAGGTTCTGGCTCCCAGCCCAGCTGAGCTGTGACCTCCAGACTTCCCTGGACACCCAAAGCTCAGAGTGGCTCCAGGTTTTGCAGAGCACAGCAAAGCACAGGCGCCCTGAGCCCTGCTATTTATTGGAAGCAAAGCTGGCCTGAAGCTCTGCATTTAGGGCTTCCTTTGGGAGAGGCACCTTGCAGGAAACTCCCCAAATTTGACACATTGGTGGCAAAATATTAGCTGAGGTTGGTGTTTAATGGAGCGAGCACTGCTCAGAGTGGGAGCTGAGAGGATTTGGGAGCCACCTTCCACATCCCACCTTGAGAGCCCCATCCCAGCCTGCGGGGTGGTTTGGGAAGCTGCTGAGGTGGGATCCTCCCTGTGTCAGCTTTTCTCTGCTGCCCTGCATCAGCTCAGCCCTGGGCTGGGGATGGCAGCCTTGGGGTTGAGCTGGGCTCCAACCCACCCAGCCAGGGCAGGCAGGACCCGGGGAGCGAGGCAAGGCGGGGGTCACCACCACAAACAGCTTCCAGGGAAACAGCTCCTCTGTGAGCATCCAGATCTGTGGGATCAATCTGTCCACACGTCCAGAAACCCAGGGTGGGCTGAGTTTGCCAAGCTAAATGATTCTCCGAGGAAGGGCGGCTGGGATTTCATCTGGGTTTGGTTCCTCGCCCTGCCCTCGGCTGTCCTGGATACATTTCCCTCCGGAGGCAGCTGCAGACCTCTGTGCAGCAATGCCAGGTGGCCAGAAAATGTGCTCCAGCCCAAAATCTGGCTGCCTTTCCCTGCTGGATGAATTATCTGTGAAAACCTCTCACGGCCTGCACAAAACAAGGTAATTATTCAGCAGGCGGGGGATAGGCAGAGCCAGAGTATGAAATTATTATCTGTTAGTGATTTACAGAGAGCCACAGACGGTGTCAAGGAACAGCAGCTGAATCAAACTTGCTTTGGCAACCTTGTGGCTCCCCAAGGCGACCCAGAGGGCTGGGGGAGAGCTCACACAGCGCTGCTGTGCTGGGGAAGGGGCTCTGGGGGTCCCTGTCTCCCCAGGACTGAGCCAGGTGCTGCATACAGGGGAAGGACGTGCTCTACATAAAACCCCGAGATCCCAGGATGGCAAAAACCACCATCAGGGGAGACTCCTGCTGTCTCACACAGCAACCAGAGCTTTTTGGGGCACAAACAGAAGATGTCCCTGCCCACGGCAGGGCATTGGAGAGAGAGAATCTTCACAATTCCTCCCAGCCCAAAGCATTCCTCAGTGAGAGGGTGCATCCGACAGATCTGAACAGCCTCCTAAACTCCCAAGGCTTGGAACTGCTTTGCTGCCAGTGTGGCTCTGCTGGAAAATCACCGAGGCAGCGGCTTTCCAAGCGTTTCTTCTCACACTTCCTTCAGTAGCAGCTTTACAAACTCTCCTCCTCAGCCAAACGCTTCTCCCTTGGCACCCGAGACTGCTCTGGCAGGTTTGTTGTTCGCATTCTCCAACCCAACCATTCCTTCTCCTTCAGCCCCAGCTATCTGCCACTCCACACCCCCCACACCCTGATTTTTGGGTTTCAGTTGACAGCGTAAGGGGGAATGGAGTCAAACTAGAAGAGGGTAGGGTTAGATTTTATGTTAGGAAAGAATTCTTGGCTGTGATGGCACAGCTGGGGCTGCCCCTGGATCCCTGGCAGTGCCCAGGCCAGGCTGGACAGGGCTTGGGGACACCTGTGGCAGTGGGAGGTGTCCCTGAGGGTGGCACTGGGTGGGCTTTGGGGTCCCTTTTAACCCAAACCGTTCCAGGACTCCACGATCCACAGCGCTGCCCTTCTCCAGGTGCGCTGCCAAACCCCAAAATCGGAGCATCCCCAGTCCCCCCGAGCACGGCAGCCCCCGAGCAGAGCAGGGGTTTGTTCCCAGGCATCTGCCGAGCTCTGCCTGCCGCTTCCCACCGACGGGCATTTCCCAATCACAGCCCAGCATCCAGCACAATGCAGCTCATCTCGTGAAATTAAGTATTTCTCCTACACACAGCACATTTGCCCGGTGATTAAAACGAGTTGGCTGCCCCTGGATCCCTGGCAGTGCCCAGGCCAGGCTGGACAGGGCTTGGGGACACCTGTGGCAGTGGGAGGTGTCCCTGAGGGTGGCACTGGGTGGGCTTTGGGGTCCCTTTTAACCCAAACCGTTCCAGGACTCCACGATCCACAGCGCTGCCCTTCTCCAGGTGCGCTGCCAAACCCCAAAATCGGAGCATCCCCAGTCCCCCCGAGCACGGCAGCCCCCGAGCAGAGCAGGGGTTTGTTCCCAGGCATCTGCCGAGCTCTGCCTGCCGCTTCCCACCGACGGGCATTTCCCAATCACAGCCCAGCATCCAGCACAATGCAGCTCATCTCGTGAAATTAAGTATTTCTCCTACACACAGCACATTTGCCCGGTGATTAAAACGAGTCCCCGAGGTAGCCAAGCACAGCAGAATTCCGGTTCATTATGCACACCCACGCAGCCAAGCTAAAAACCCAAGACACTCCCCCAGTCCTTCTTGGGAAAGCCTGAGCAGCTCGGATTTCAGCTTCACCACTTGCACCAGCCAGGACCGGGAATACTCTGTCATCTGGTGTAGGAAAAAAGGTAAGGACAGAAGTTTCCCAAAGACTCCAAGGTATCCCTTAAGGTCTGAGAAAGAGGGAAGGGTGTAGGAGCCCAGGAACGTCGAGCAAACAGAGCAGATCACACAACTGTGAGGAGCCTTTTGCTCGTTCCACCTTGGATTTGGAATGAACTTTTAACACCAAAACGCCTTGATTTCCCCCATTTCCCAAAGCCTGTTCTGTGTCACGTTGTACCAAGTGACAAGTCCTTGATGAAAAGGAGGAACAGTTATTGCCTCTGTGCAGTGGATGACCGGTCCTTGCTGCAGCAGCCTCAGTCCAGCCTCGTTCCCAAAAGGAAACGGGGCCAAACCTGCTCCCCATGCCCAGCTGGAGCTGTGTCAGCTTTTCTCTGCTGCCCTGCATCAGCTCAGCCCTGGGCTGGGGATGGAGCTCCGAGCTGGGCTCCAACCCAGCGTGAGCCCGGGGAGCTGCAGCCTGCTCCGAGCCAGCTGCGGATGCGCCGAGGCTGTGCTGGAGCTGTGCAGGAGCAGCTGCAGCTGCTGGAGGCAGCGACAGGAGGAAGCACGTTGGCACGGAGGTTTTCCTTTCCCCGCAGACACAACCTCCTGCCTCTTCCTCTCAAGCCTCCAGCCACAATATTCCCACTGCCCTGCCGGTGTCTCCAGCCCTCCCTGGAGTGGGTGGCTCTGCTCCTCACCTCCCTCTCAAGGCAGGGACACCTCCTCCTCCTCCTCCTCCCCACATTCCTCTGCTCTCTTCATTCCTTCCTGCAGTGCTGGCCCTCCTTCACCCACCTGCAGAGAGACCTTCCCTCCCTGCAGCAGCCCCCCTCCCCAGCCCAGCCCTAACCCAGCTCCCCTCCCCTGCCACAGGACAGCCACAGATCTGCCTTTCACCTCGCTGTGCTTTAGCCCTGCCAGCACCCCTTCACCCTGCCCTCAGCCCTCTCCTGGCCCAGTACAGCCCAGCCCAGCCCAGCCCTGTCTCCTGGCCCAGCCCAGCCCTGTCTTTCCTCAGTCCCGCCCCCTTCTCCACGCCCGATCTCGCGCGACCTCCCCCGCTCGCCGCGTCACGCGGGGCCGAGAGATTGCGTCACCGCGCCCTCCGTGACGTTAACGCTTCCTCGGCGCGCCCCGCCCCGCAGCGGTGAGTGACGGCGCGCTCACCAATGAGAAGCGGCCGAGGCGTGAATGATGCGGCGCGCTGCCAATGGGCGGCGGGAGGGGGCGGTGCCGCGCGGGCCGGGCGGGAGGGCGGGCGGGCCGCGCCTGTCAGCGGGGCGGCGGGATGGCGGCGCTGTACGCCTGCACCAAGTGCCACCAGCGCTTCCCCTTCGAGGCGCTCAGCCAGGGCCAGCAGCTCTGCAAGGTCCCGGAGAGGGGCTGGGCGCGGGCTGGGAGGGGGCTGTGCGGGAAGGTCTGTGAGGGAGCCTGTGGGGGCTGGTTTGGGAGGAGGCTGGTGGGAGAGAAGTCTGAGGGGGGCTGTGAGGGAAGTGGGGGGTGATCCCTGAGGAGATTTGAGGGGGGTGGTCTGTGAGAGGTTTTGGGGGGTCTGAGGGGTAAAGGGCCTCCTGGAGCATTGTTTGTGAGGGAGAGCAGGCAAAGGAATGTTTTAAAGGGGTCTGGAGGCTCTTAGAGGAACTGAGGATAAGTGGGGGGCTATTTGTGCGGAGATCCTGGGAGTATTTGTGAGTATTTGTGAGTATTTGTGAACACTGGGGCCTTGAGGGGTCTGTTTGGGGTCTGTGGGGGAGCGGTGGGAGGGTGTGGATGAGGGCTGGGGGGTTTTGGGGAGGTTTTGAGGGGCTGGAGCATGGGGCTAGGGGCATGTGTTGAAGGGCTGTTTAGGGGAGCTGTTTGTCAGGGGGACCTGAGGGCACCGAAGGCAGTTTGGAGGTGCTGGGGGTGTTAGTCATGGGGTTGTTGTGGGGAATAGAGGGGAGGTGGGAGCTGTTCCTGAGCAGAGGCCTGGGAGGATCTGGGATGTCTGTAGGAGATCTGGTGGTACCTTGGGAGGAGTAAGGTGGGTTTGGACACAGTCTGAGGAAGAAGAGCAAGATCAGGG